ATCTAGCCCCTTGTGACGTCATCACGCTTTCATCTGGGAACTGTCATTCTAGCAGAGCAGTTAGGCGGCAGGGAGCCAGCATCAAAGGCGGAGCGGATTTGTTTTCTTTTTTTTTCGGGTCGGTGGTGTTAGCGATGGGCATCGTGATTGCATCGGAATCTACCTTGGGGGATATTTTTAATTAAGGCCTTTGTCTAAGACTGTCTCCTGTCTTTTTTTTACACACTACACTTTTTTTTTTGGAATGGGTAGCAATACCATGTTCCGCATACTCATTCACATGGGGGGGGCTGGGATCTGGAGGCTCACTTTCAGATTCTGGTAAGCCCCCGACTGCAGACCCCCACTGGCCACGGTTTCCCCTTGTCCCCACCAACATGGAAACAAGGTGTTTTGGGGGGGGGAGCCCACCTGCCCAAAAGCACCCCCCCCATTGAGGGTATGAGGCCTGGTATGGTTTTCAGGAGGGGGGGATCTCACTTGTCCCCCTTCTTTCCTGACTTGCTGGGCTGCATGCTCAGATAAGGGTCTGGTATGGATTTTGGGGGGACCCCCATGCCATTTTTTTTTAATTATGTGGGTGGTCCCCTCAAAATCCATACCAGACCCAAAGGGCTTGGTATGGATGGGGGGAACCCACAACATTTAAAACAGAGAAAACATTTTACGTTAGTGGGCTATTTGGTCGGCCGTTTTCCGGTATTTTGGCCGTTTTTTTTTCTGTAAAGTTGGAAAAAAAGCGGCCGATTTTCGTGGCAATTAGTGGGCAAATCGGCCGATTTTTTGCTGATAAAAAATCTGCGCATGAGCAGTGACCTGCAAGAGGAAGACAAAAGAAGAAAAAGAAGAAGAGGATGAAGAAGAGGATGAAGAAGAAGAAGAAGAGGAAGAAGAAGAGGATGAAGAAGAAGAAGAAGAGGATGAGGAAGAGGAAGAAGAAGAAGAAGAGAATGAGGATGATGAAGAAGAAGAGGATGAGGATGAAGAAGAAGAAGAAGAAGAAGAAGAAGAAGCAGAAGAGGATGAGGATGAGGAAGAAGAAGAGGATGAGGATGAGGAAGAAGAAGAAGAAGCAGATGAGGATGAAGAAGAAGAAGAAGAAGAAGATGATGAGGATGAGGATGAGGATGAGGAAGAAGAAGAAGAGGATGAGGATGAAGAAGAAGAATAAGAAGAAGAGGATGAGGATGAAGAAGAAGAGGATGAGGATGAAGAAGAAGAGAGGATGAGGATGAAGAAGAAGAAGAAGAGGATGAGGGTGAGGAAGAAGAAGAAGAAGAGGATGAGGATGAAGAAGAAGAAGAAGAAGAGGATGAGGATGAAGAAGAAGAAGAAGAAGAAGAAGAAGATGAAGATGAGGAAGAAGAAGAAGAAGAGGATGAGGATGTAGAAGAAGAAGAAGAAGAAGAGGATGAGGATGTAGAAGAAGAAGAAGAGGATGAGGATGAAGAAGAAGAGGATGAGGGTGAAGAAGAAGAGGATGAGGATGAAGAAGAAGAGGATGAGGATGAAGAAGAAGAAGAAGAAGAAGAAGAAGAAGAAGAGGATGAGGATGAAGAAGAAGAGGAGGAGGATGAGGATGAAGAAGTGGATGAGGATGAGTAAGAAGAAGAGGAGGATAAGGATGATGAAGAAGAAGAGGATGAGGATGATGAAGAAGAAGAGGATAATGAAGAAGAGAGATGAGGATGAAGAAGAAGAAGAGGATGAGGATGTAGAAGAAGAGGATGAGGATGAAGAAGAGAAGAAGAGGATGAGGATGAAGAAGAAGAAAGGATGAGGATGAAAAGAATGAGGATGAGGAGAGAGGAAGAAGAAGAAGAAGAAGAAGAAGAAGAAGGAGGAGGAGGAGGATGATGAAGAAGAGAGATGAGATGAGGATGATGAAGAAGAAGAGGATGAGGATGATGAAGAAGAAGAGGATGAGGATGAAGAGGATGAGGATGAAGAAGAGGATGAGGATGAAGATGAAGAAGAAGAAGAAGAGGATGAGGATGAGGCAGAAGAAGAAGAGGATGAGGATGAAGAAGAAGAAGAAGAGGATGAGGATGTGAAGAAGAGGAAGAAGAAGTAGGATGAAAATAAGAAGAATTCCAGTCCAGCAAAAAGTGTCTCTGCAGAGAGCTCCGCTATTTCTTTGACAGTTCTCTGACAGTTCTTTGACATTTACAGCGGTTGCAACAATGTATCTATTTGTTTCCGAATAAAAACATCTGTATCCTAAATGGAAACAAATAGATACAATGTTTCAACCGCTGTAATGTGAAGGAACTGTCAGAGAACTGTCAGAAATAGCGGAGCTCTCTGCAGAGACACTTTTTGCCGGCTGTAGAAGGGATGAAAATCGGCCGATTTTTTTTTACCATTGATGGTAACGTCGGCCGCTTGAACGACCGAATTTTCGTTTTTTAAAAGAAAAATCTGCCGTTTTTTCTCCCCATCTATGGCCTGCATAAAACTGCATTTTTTAGAACCTTTTTCACATTGGTACATGTCAACATGCCCTACCTCCATGAAATGTTTGGCCAATCCTTTGGCTATTAGTGTTAAAAATTGAGAAAATTGATGCAACAGATTTATCTTCTATTGACTTTAATGGGCTTCAGATTTGGCATCAGAACTTTTGGTATGTTTGGCTGACCTGCCCGAACTGAACCCAGGTGTGCTTGGCTCATGGATTTGGACTCTGAAGTTTTCTATGCTACATTATCTGCCAGAGTCCATTGAGTCGCACCTAAGGTGCTGTGTTAGAGGTATACTATGAGGAACTTTGCCTGTGTATTGGATGGACAATCCCTGGTGAGTAGTCAGAGGGCTGGACAAAGCTTTAAAAGGCTAAAAAAACTTTGTGGAAGATTGTTTTAAACCAGTAGGGTGTAGCCTACACTTTAATCCTGGTACTGAGAACTATTATTTCAGGCCCACATCCAATCCCTGTGCAAATCATGCTGCCTCAACCTCCGCAACATCTCCAGAATACACCCTTTTTAACCAATGATACCACAAGCTCCTAATTCACTCCCTGGAACCTATATTATAACTAGGCCTCCAGCCGCAATGCACAGGAGACAAAACATACCATCCGCAGTGCAGAACCTTCACCATCCAGTTAAACCCCGGTTAACCAGAATGCACCTGGGCACACCATACCACCGATGGGTCCCAACCATTAGCTTTAGCTTAAAAGTATGTGCCAACGCCAAAGACCAACAACAAAACCACGAATCGAAAAAAACACCCACACAAACCCCAAGGGAGGGCGAGAGGGAAGCTTGCTCCACTGCTGTCTCCTGCACTGATCTAGACGACCCCCCCCAACCACACCCAAAGGTGTCGAAGACCCCACCCTGCACACCCCTCACCAATCAGGTAACTTGCCCATATTCTAACTCCCACCTTTTATCCTTAACCCTGTCCTGTCTTTCCTACCCCCCCTAGTCCTAGTCATGTCTAAGAACCTAGTCATGTCTGCCCTGCGCTAATTTTCTTTTTCTTTCTTTTCGCTACAGGTATCTCTAAATCATGTACCTGGTGATGGAGGCCAATGGAGAGAGGACTTCCCTTGCGGCTAAGTTCCGGACTCCCCTAAGAGTGGGACAGCGGGAGTCAGGGCCAAAGGTGCACAGGTCGCCTGTAGGAGTGCTGGTTGGTGGTCCACTCAGAAGCACAGCTGGTGCATGGAGATAGGTCTTCAGACAGGAGGCGCCTGTGCATGGTATGCAAGCCCTTCCGGGATTTAGAATGTCCAAGCCAAGGTGAGGTACCCAGGTGGGAATCAGAGCAGACGTAGTCAGATGGGATAGCCGAGGTCATACACAGAGAAGCGAGAGAGAGAGTATCCCTAAGTCAAGCCGAGGTCAGATCAGGGGTAAAGCAGAGTAGACAGGTCCAGGAGCAAGCCGAGTCGGTACCAGGAAATCACGGGTCAAAATCACAGGGAACAGGGCACAAGGAGCTAGAGATCATCCAGCAACTTGAGAAAGTGATGAGCCTCCTTATAAAGGCCGTCTGGTACCAAACTGAGGCTGATGCTTGCTTCTGCGGCCATGCAGAGTACTGGCAGAAAATGCCAGATCTTCCAGAACTTCTGCCGTGGACAGGACTCTGACACTCTATCCTGCTTCTACCTAGTAAACTGCCATTTATTTCCTCCATCAGCTCATCCTCCCCCAAAGCCATTACCTTTTGTATCACCCAACCCTTCTTCCTAGATTGTAAACTCTAACAAGCTGGGCCCTCTGTTTCCTCCTGTACCAAATTGTATTGTAACTGTAATGTCTACCTTCATTTTGTAAAGTGCTGTGCAAACTGTTGGCGCTACATAAATCCTGTATAATAATAAATAATAACAACAGGGCCTGAAAACCACGTTCTCTGTAGACCTATTGCATAGAACAAGCTGTTTAATCTGGGAAGACATTACCCAAGCTGTTCCTTCCTGTGTGGAATTTCAGAGCTAGGGGACACTATCAACCTGGGATGCAGTAGAAACTGTGTTTCGGGTACTCCACCTTCTCACCTCAAAATAAATCATAAAAACATGGTTTTGACTCACCAGCCACTCATATACAAAAGTGTATAAATAAGTATACAAAAGCTGGCGAGTCAAAACCAGGTTTTTAATGGTTTATTTTAGAGCTATGCTTTTTCAGAGCAAACATATGTTTTGGGGAAACTGTGAGGTCTTTTAATTAATATTTACCTCACATCCTGCAATAAAAACCCATCCAGGTGCTGGATCATCTTTCTACGAGGTCCGAAGTACATATGACTACCCTGGGGGTAAGATTGTGTTCAAACTTGCTTGGCCATGAAAGTAGGGCTACAGGGGGATAACAACCATTTAGGGATGGGGGGAAGGCACAAGCTTCCAGGACTTCTAATAAGTTCAAGTACATGGATAAAATTTCAGAAAATCACTTTTATACTGTATGTAGGTTTCTGATCATTACAGCCTATATGATGCTAAACTGAGCTGAATTTTTTTCTGAATTCAGGTAGGAAATATTTGTACTCACCAAACTGTCTGACACTTGTGTAGAAACTGGGATACACTTTCTTGGCATTCAGGATTCACTGTGAGATATCGAAACTCTACATACTGAAAACCTTCTCTCTTCAAAGTCTTCAAGCAATAGGCCAGCTGCTTGGAATAAACTACAGTCCATATTCAAAAAATCCATATACAAGCCATTGACCATCAAATCTGAACAAGAAGACAAAATGCTCCTTATGAAGTCCTCATCCTGAGTCTCATACAGACAGATAATATCAGGAGTAGTGAATCTCCCATTAATGTCCTTCATAGCCCATTCTTTTATTGCAGATCTTGCTTGCAGTGAGATGTTGATACCTGTACTCTTTGTGAATGCCTTAACCTCTTTTTCATTTAAAAGACCATACAGGAACCGTATAATTAAAGCTAAATATGGATGTTCTAAAAAATAGTCTGGGAGTGATTTCCCTTTATAGGTTTCTGGGGGTGAAGGGTCTTCTCTTACTCCGGAGGATCCTCCTTCCTTTCCAGAACCATCATCCAGCACATAATACAGAGCAGCAAGGAACTCCTGTACACTCAGGTGGATGAAGCTGTAGCAGGTCTGGGTGTGGAGGTCCCAATGAAAGATGTTCTCATTCAGAAATACAGACTCCACCTCGGACAGAGAAAGTCCATGTCTTTCTAGATTTTCATCCTCAAACAGGATTTGTTGGTTCAAAACTCCCTCATTAGCCAGAGAACACAGCTTCTCCAGACAGGTGTGTATGGCCTGAGGTTTCCTGTGCACAGACTGGTCGTTCTTGCCGTGATGGGTTATTAAAACCTCCAGGTAGAGAAGGTAAATTGAAGTCATTGTTTTAAATTGAATTAAACTCAAATCTTTTTTTATTTCTTGTTTTAGAACAGTGCACATAATCCAGCACGTGATGGGGACAACACACATGGTGTACAAAACGTCATTGTCTTTTATTATACTGAGCACCTTGTCTGCATCTTCTTTATTTCCAAAAAAATTGTGGACATATTCTTCTTGCTCTTCCCTTGTAAATCCCTGGATTTCCACATTGCGAGAATCATCAATGAACATGCCAAGTTTATTTATGGACAGTGACCTTGTGGTGATGATCAGAGAAGATTGTTTGAGAACCTGTTTCCTGAGCAAACTTTGGAGAATTTTTTCTTTGTGGGTTTCCATAGAAATGTCAACACAAACCTCAGATTCCTCCTCCAGAGTCCACCTCAGGTCATCAAAACCATCAACTATAAAGAGAAGTTTTCTATGACTTCTACGATCCTTCAGAATAGACACCAGCTCATCTGAACACTGCAGTCTGCAGGCTCTGGATAAAAGACCCACTAGGCTTATGTTTTCAGCGATGGTGTGGATTTCTCTACAGCTCAGATAAAACACAAAGTCAAATTCATCTTGGTAGAGAATCCCAGAGGCCCAATCCAGCATGATCTTCTTGGCGGTCATGGTTTTTCCAATCCCAGCAGGTCCTTGCAACACCACAATGTTTGGGATGAAACCATCTTCATCAGGGTCAAAGAGGCCTTGGATTGTGGTTGGGGAGTATTCATGAGAACCTTCCTCATTGATCTGTAGATGTCTGCTGCCTGTACTGTTTATTTCTTGGTCTTTTTTCTCTTTATCCTGTAGTCTCTTTCTCATTGATAACTTGGTGTATTTTTTCTGCAAAATAACAGTGTCCTCCATATGGGAATTCATTTCTTGAATCCATTGGAACATCTCTTTCATAGACTCTGTGTATTCCTCTTTCAACTCTTAAAATTGAGAGAATAATTATTTTACTCCTCATACATACATAAAATAGTATTTATAAGTCAGAGCTATATATATACTGGGCTTTATTTACTAAAGCTGGAGAGTGCAAACTCAGGCTCACTTCTGCATAGAAACCAATCAGCTTCCAGTTTCCAGGTTTTTTTGCTTTCTATGCAGAAGTGAGCCTCATTATGTAAACCAATTGTGTTCTATGAATAAACCCTAAGAATGTAACCCTGTAAGAAAATATCCCATGAAATACGAGAGTATAGTTTAAACCTCCTAAACTATGTACACATAATCCAAACTCGAACACAACAAAATGTTCATCCAAAAAAGATTTCATATTATCAAACATAATTTTCCTACTAACCTAATAATCTGTTGTGTGTCATCTTCTTTAGTTTGTCTGAAAAAAGATATATTTATATGTATCTCTACTCCCATGGGGGTCGCTTGATAATGCTTGTCCCCAGTGGTTGCCCTGACCTTGCAAGCCTCCTGACCAGCCTCCTGACACCTCTTACACTCTGGGATCACACATATTTCAACAGTATAGGATAATAATGTGTAGCACTACTCCCTTAGGGATTGCTTTATGAATTTGGGTCCCCCTATAATGCTGCACAGCCAGTCAGTTAGCATCTTTCACACAAGCTTACATCCGTAGACAGAAATTAGTCCTTGAGCGTTTGCTTTGTTATTTTATTAAGGGGATTAGAATTTGGATAGGTTAAGGGGTGTATAAGATGTCCAAGGGAACCGAAATCTGAGGACAACTTCCTGAACAATTCACACAGCTTCTTTTCTTTGACACAGTCTAATTTGGCATGGTAGCCAGTATCTCCAGTTGTACTACCCCAGACCCTAGATGAACTCTCTCTTCACCCAGCAATCTGGAGACTCTTGTCCTGAACAATGGATCTGGCTCTTGTCCCTTCAAATGGGCTGAATAGTCACTAGCACAGGGCTAATCTGGTTTCCCACCCCAGTACCCTTTCTCCTATCTGCCCAGGGGGTGCAGGTATACTCATTAAGAACCTCTGCTGTGCTTGCGGAATGGCTGCTGCTACCAGGCCCATATGCTGGGCTACTCCTTCCCTGCCATACAGGTGGTCTTTTCTCAGGGGAGTCAGTGAGTCCTGAGTTTTCCTCCTTTCCAAGTCCAGGCTTGCAGGCAAGCCCCATCCCACTAGGCCTCCTGGCAGTCATTTTTCTCCAGCCTCACATCTTCCTGCCTCAAACTCCTCTTCCACCACCACACTCCTGCTACTGAGCAGGTTCTACACTTTTAGGTGTGTACCAGACCCTTTCCAAGCCTCCTGTTGAGGATTGGCTGAGGTCCTTCAAACGTGTGACCAGCCACTCCTCGGATCCACCACTGCCTCCAGAGGCCCTCCTCTGAAAGCCTCAGAGCAGGGGGAAATTCCAGAGGGGCTTGCTTGCAGAGTTTCTCAGCCCTGACCAAAGTGTTACCTCTCTGGCTATCTCACCTGAGCTACCAATCAGCTCCTAACTAACCATTAGGGTCTAGCTCCCCTAGTTAAACTAGGAGGGTACTACAAATGCAAGAGACTCAATTTTTTAGTAACACCTCTATATCAGTCTTGTTCAAAAGAGTAAACTACAAGAATAATGGGTTTAGGATATACAACCCCAATTAGAACACTGGTAAATTGGATTAATCAGGTAGAAAAGTTTAACAAATTACACAGTCATGATTATTAAGCTTCAACTATTAAAACTACAACACCAGCAGTAAGAGGGTGAAGGAACGACTTGTTGACTCATCAGCTCCCTCTAGGCCACTGGCAAATGCAATGGTGGATGCAGAAAATTAGGTAAATGTATAGTCTGACATAAATAAATATAAGTATCCTAATTTGAATAATAATGCCTCTTAAGAGAAGAGGTCCCTTTAAATGGAGATTGCAGCTTGAGTCCTGTGACATTTAAAGTTCCTGATATGGTGGTGTCCATTATCTTTTGCTAGCAATGATGGAGCCCCTAAACAGTAATGAATACTGGTAATTCAGTGAAGTTAAACAGATAGGCTGTGGTACTGCTCAACGCAAAGATCTGATACTGAGGTGTAAAGGTGTCTGCATACAGTATCTCTACAGTAGAGTGATGATGGAAAGAAGTTAAGCATCCACCCCGCTCACCAATCCCACGGATAGTACAGCCTCCTAGGAACAAGAGTTCTTGCCCAGGCTCTTAGCTGTTTGCAGGGATGGGCATCATTGCTGCCTGAAAGCCTGTCAGCACAGAAAGCAGAGATGTCTATGTGAAGACTGGGCAATGACAGTCCCGATGCAGAGAAGCTGATGATTGGCATCACCACTGATGTGCAGAGTCTCGCATCAGTAGGAAAACACTCTGTATCTGGAGGAGATCGGCAGTCCCCCTGTGTTCACCTCTGGAATCCACACCAAGAGGGCGAGCCAGTCACTGGCTATAGAATAAATCTGCTCTACCATGCAACCTTCTGGTTCTCAGCTCTCTGGTAGTTGTAGTTCATTCAGCACTAAACAATATACAGTATGTATTGGCTATGGGAGTACAGGTCTCAAGATCCTCTGCTGTCAGAAGAGAACTGGATCCACTCTGGAATTACTGGTATTACCTCTGGAATCCACACCAAGAGGGCGAGCCAGTCACTGGCTATAGAATAAATCTGCTCTACCAGCAACCTTCTGGTTCTCAGCTCTCTGGTAGTTGTAGTTCATTCAGCACTAAACAATACAGTATGTATTGGCTATGGGAGTACAGGTCTCAAGATCCTCTGCTGTCAGAAGAACTGGATCCACTCTGCTAATAGGAAGTGGTGTAGCAGTCCCAGTCCATGGCACTAGGGGGAAAAGGATTAACCATAGTCTCATCTGTATATGTCCCTGAAAGGCATAATGATATATTTGGAACCTGGCTACATATATACACAATATATATTCGGATTCACAGGACACAAGGCTCAGAACATTGTACAAGTTTCACATGCTCCCAACATATTTACCAGGGTCTCTCTTTGTGACCCAAAATAAATGATACTTAGGTATATATGGATAAATAAAAAAAAAAGAAAAAGTTAAATATGAAGTTCTGTGTAATGACAAAGGGAAAGGGGGATTGAACTTGCCTAACTTTAGGAAATATTATCTTTCGGTATTACTACCATGAATAGCAGATTGGATATATATAACTCACCGGGGGAGAAGTTGGGTAAAAATAGAAAGTACACTTAGTAAGTCCCAATTAGATAGAATTATATGGTAGGAGTGTCTCGTAGGAGGGTAAGAGGATGTATGAGAGGAGAAGAGAGAAGATAGATCAAAAAAACAAAACAAAATAAACACAAAAAAACACTTGACGGACTAGAAGCAAAAGAATATAGAAAATGAAAAGGGGGAAATCTGTTGGGAGGGGGTGAATAGTTTGGGGGAGGTGAGGGGAAGAGGTAAATTTATGTAAAAAATTTGTATTTTGAACTGTTGGTTGTAAGTCGATTTTGCTAAATAAAAAAAGTGCATAAATTAATTGAAATGATATAAGTCCACATTCATATATTAAATAATTAAAAGTCCCAAAATCCATAAACACAGTGCTGTATGCTAAAGAAATCCTCCAACAGAAAGTGCATAGGTGTCCACAAATGCTTGACACAAAAGAAAAAAAGAAAATCAGCCTCTCACCAGACTCTTTGATTTCCAATCAAGAGATCAAACGAGCAGATGGTGTTGAGATCCCACACTGACACCCTAGTTAGCCGTATCAAGGAGATGAATGGACAACTGCAGGTTCCCCTGAATGAATCCATCACATCAGACAGCTCTCCACATCATACAAGGAAAGGTTTTAAAACAGAAGAAGAAAACTTCATAGTGCGACCAGCAAAGAATTTATTAAAGTATTGCACTTACATAGATAAGGTGCATAAAGGCAGTGTAAATATTTAAAATTCCCCTGGTGTCAGACCACCAGCCAGAATGAGGTGACGTCACAGAAAGCTCTTCCTGACGCAAGTTTCTCCATAAATGGCATCTTTTGGGATTGGAGAACAGTCATGCGACGTTAGCTGTCACCATATTTACAGGAAAGAGGAGTTCCCGAACAATTTAGCATGCTAGAGAAAATACCTGATGTGAATCAGAATGACTGATATCACCATCTAGTGGATTCATCGGGACGCTACAAATGTGTAAAATAAACAAATAATATAAATAAAAAAAAAGATGAACTGCGTTACCACAAAAACATAAATACATATATACAGTATACATCATAAATGTACTAAAAACCTTAAAAATATTAATTAAATAATGCAAAGTATCAAAATATACCAAAAAGTAATAAATAATAAAAAAAAAAATAACATTTAAATTGACTCATGAAACATATTAGGTAGTATAACGATACACGACATGGGAAATAACTCAGCATTCAAATCAATAGACACAATAAATAATTTTGCTTTTGTGTCAAGCGTTTGTGGACACCTATGCACTTTCCGTTAAAGGATTTATTTAGCACACTCTGTTATTGGATTTTTGGGAATTTTAATTATTTCATATATGAATCTGGACTTATATAATTTCAATTAACTTCAGCACATTTTTTATGTAGCAGTATTTATTTGATTATTGTTTATGATTATT